TACCCACGCAGCCCCCGGGCCCCAGCCTTGACCTGGTAAGGCCTTGCGATGCTATGCTTGACCAGCTGGGCCAGACCTGTGGGTCCCCCAGCTTCTGCAGCAGGGGAGCCCTCAGGCCTGCCTACAGAGCCGAGCCTGCCCTTTGCCGCCCACAGCTCAGCCACTGACCAGCTGTGGACTGTTAGGTTTGTTCTCAAGTGACTATCAGGGCAGTTGTCATAGACACTTTAGAGAATACAGCGAAGTGTAAAAGAGCAGAAACCACTCAGCCCAGAGGCTGGTACTCAGCCGAGCCTTCTGCCTCGGTCTCTGTCCCTTGTGGTGACACCCGTGAGCAGTCACACTCTCACTTCAAGTCAGGTGTTGAGCACTCTCCATGTATATATTTTTTTAATTTGCCAGAGGCCATGTGCACTTGCTGGAGAGAGAAGGGGAGAAGGCGAGAATGCAGCCCCTGTGGGGAATGGAGTGAGAAAGTGAGAAAGCACCCCCATGGGGCATGGCCGTGAGCAGCCCCTCCTCCCCCTCCATTTCCCTTCTTTCAGACGTTTGGTCACATGTGCATACGTCTAGCCTTTCTCAAGCCTCCGAGTCCAGGACTGCAACCATGTAGTTGGCTAGGAGGGGTCCAGCACATTAACCACCGTATCACTGCCTGGCCCCATAAATTCTTTCTTTCTTTCTTTCTTTTTTTTTTTTTTTGAGAGGTTTTCGCTATAGGGCGCGTGCACTCACCAGACAGACAGAGAGAGACATAGAGACAGAAAGCGAGAAATCACCCCCCAGGGGGGATGGCCACGCCGCGATCCCTTCTCCTCCATTCTCCTCTCGGGATCTTGGGCACGCACGCACACGCGCCCGGCGTGAGTTTTAAGCCACCGGGTCCGGGACACCAACCGCGGTCGACTACGTGGGAGTCCAGTGACATAGCCATTACGCTAACTGCTGTTTCCCCATAAATTCTTTTTAAAGGACACATGACTGATTTACTATTGTTGAATGTTTACATCAAACTTTTTTTTTTTGATAGTTTTTTTTACTATAGGGCCCGTGCGCTCGCCAGACAGAGACAGAGAGACAGAAAGCAAGAAATCACCCCCCAGGGGGGATGGCCAGGCCGCAATCCCTTCTCCTCCATTCTCCTCTCAGGATCTTGGGCACGCACGCACACGCGCCCGGCGTGAGTTTTAAGCCACCGGGTCCGGGACACCAACCGCGGTCGACTACGTGGGAGTCTAGCGACATAGCCATTACGCTAACTACTGGTCCCCAGACTTTTTTACTTTTCTTTTTTAAGTAACTATACTGATGTGTTTATTTGCAGACTTAGAATTTTATCCATACTTTGAATCATTTCCTGAGGGTAGGAGAGGATATTTTTTTAATACAATTTTTTTCTGATTATAAAGACAATTTAAAAAGTTAAAATAGGGGCCAGCAGGTGGCATGGTGGTTAAAGGCGCTGGACTCCCACATGGCTGACCATGGTTCACGCCCTAGAACTGGTCACCTGCTTTCCCACTTCCCCCACCCCATCTCCTCTCTGATCAAATTGGAAAATAATAGTAACAAAGTTAAAATACAAATAATTCTTTTTTTAAAAAAGTTAAAATGCATTCAGTAGGTGGCATGGTGGTTAAGGCAACAGGATTCCACATGGCTAACCATGTGGTTCAAGTCCCAAGTCTGGAGGCTTGAGAAACACACCAGGCAGATATATGTGTATACCCACAGTCCCAAGAGGACAAGTGGAAAAGAGATTGTGGCATGGCCATCCCCCCAGGGAGTGCTTTCTCACTTTCTCTCTCTCTAGTGAGTACTAACATCCTATGGCAAAATGTTTAAAAAGCTACAATAATAGAACAGCACAAAATAAGCATTAAAAATACCATCCGTAGATGCCAGGAGGTGGCCTAACGGTTAAGGTGCTGGACTCCCACATGGCTGACTGCATTTTGAGCCCTGGGCACAGGAGCTTGAAAATCATGCCAGGTGTGTGTGTGTGTGTGTGTGTGTGCCCAAAATCCTGAGAAGAGAATGGAGAAAAGGGGATTATGGCGTGGCCGTGGCCATCACGGGGTGGGGGGGTGTGATTTCTCACTTTCCTTCTCTCTGTGTCTCTGGCAAGTGTATGTGTCCTATGCCAAGAACTTTTAAAAAAAAAAAGCCTCGGGAGCCAGCAGTTAGCGTAATGGCTGTGTCGCTGGACTCCCACGTAGTCGACTGCGGTTCGTGTCCCGAACCTGGTGGCTTAAACTCACGCCGGGTGTGTGTGCGTGCATGTCCAAGATCCCGAGAGGGGAATGGAGGAGAAGGGATTGCTGAGTGGCCATCCCCCCTGGGGGGTGATTTCTCGCTTTCTGTCTCTATGTCTCTGTCTGTCTGTCTGGCAAGCACACGCCCTGTAGCAAAATACCTCTCCAAAAAAAGAAAGAAAAAGGACTTTTTCTTTGTCCTTCCTCTGTTCCCTGCTGACATTTATCTAATCAGCCTCTGCTATTGCCCATTTACCAGGACCCCATTCAGAAGGTTCAGTTTTGTAAACAGTGGTGTGATGGATACAGACCTGTCTCTGTCTGTCTTTCTGGCAAGCACATGCGCCCTATAACAAAAACACCTCTCCAAAAAAAAGTAAAAGAAACTAATGACCTAGTATGTTGTTCTAATATTGGCTTTATAACTTTATTGACAATCAGTGGTTAGTTTTTTATTTGTTTGTTTTTTACTAAAGGGTGCATGTGCTCGCTAGAGAGACAGAAAAACAGAGACAGAAAGTGAGAAGTCACCCCCCAGAGCGATGGCCACACCGCAGTCCCTTCTCCTTCATTCTCCTCTCAGGACTTTGGGCATGCATGCATGCATGCAGACTTAATGGTTTTTGGTTTTGTTTTAAGAATTATTTATTTAATTTTATTTATTCATTTCTTTTTATTTGACCAGAGATACAGTAAGAAAGCAAGCTACCAGGTCCGGGATTTGAACTGTAGTTGGCCATGTGGGAGTGTTCAATGCCTTAGCCACCACATCACCTGCTGTCCTCCCCATACACATGAGTTTTAAGCTGCCAGGTTTGGGACTCAAACTGCGGTCAACTATGTGGGTAGTGATGTAACCATTACACCACCTGCTGGTCTCCAGCGGCTAGTTTTTAAATCCACATTGACTATAGATATTTGAAAGTGGCAGTAAGTATTGGGTTGTTAGAAAAGGCATGAGAGTTTTTCTATGCAAAAATATGTCCAGGGGGCCGGCAGGTGGCATGGTGGTTAAGGGCGCTGGACTCATGGCCAACCATGATTCGAGTCCTGGACCTGGTGGCTTGCTCGCTTGCTCTCTCCCTCTCTCTCTTTTTCTCTGTCTCTCTCTCTCTCTGGTAAAATAAAAATAAATAAAGTTAAATAAAATAATTCTTTTAAAAAATGACAAATTAGGGGCCCGCATGTGGCGTGGTGGTTAAGGACGCTGGATTCCCACATGACCGACCACTGTTCAAGTCCTGGACCTGGAGGCTTGCTCTCTCACGTTCTCACTCTCTCCTTCTCTCTTGCTCTGTCCCTCTCTGGTCAAAATTAAAAAATGAAATAAATGAATGAATAAATTTAAAAAAATTTCTTAAAAAAAAAAGACAAATTAAAAACAAAAAATGCATTATGAGTTTCCCGACAACCTAGTGTGTAGGTGGCCACAGTGTGGCACTTGTTTGGTGGGTCGTCATCCTCGTGATGTTTTCTGGACAATCTCACCTGGATGCTGCGTGGGACATTCCTTATCCTTTTGGCCCAGAGTTCCGATGAACCTGGTATCGATGCACACCCGGAGTCCCAGCTCCTCCCTGAGTGCCTGCGGGCGTGTTTCTTGACACTCACTCAGTGCACGCACTCATGAATATTGATGGCGTATTCTCGGTTACCACCTTGTTGACGGTTTAGGGTTTTTGTTTTGTTTTTTTTTCATTTTTGCTATAGGGCATATGTACTTACCAGAGAGAGAGAGAGGGAGAAGGAAAGGTAAGAGATAAATCAGCCCCCCTGTGGGGATGCTGCAGTCCTTTCTCCATTCTCCTCTCAGGATTTTTGGGTGTGCGCACACGTGTCCCCACCATGTTCTTCAACCCCTGGGACCCTACTTGAGCCACTCAGTCGGTCACGTGGGATCTAGCCACCTTAACATCACACCAGCAACTGGCCCTTGCCACCCTTCTTTGTGGGAGCCGTTCTGCCTGACCCAAGTTAGAGAGACTGCACAGGATTGTGGGAGCCCCACCAGTTTTAAAAGTAAGAAAAAAGCTGAGTATATTCACTCACTGAATAAGAAAACCAAGAGGTGAAGAATTTCACCAAGTAGCTGCCTAACAGGGAAAAGCTAAGAGCTGATGTATTAGGAAGGGGTTAGTTTTGTCAGTTAAGGCTCGAAACCAGGCAACGTGGGCAGGATAGAACTTGTCCCTCGCCGAGTCTGGGCGTGGGTCATCACAGCCACCTTCTCTCAGAAGCAGCTCCAGGAAGGACACGCTGTCCTGTTCCGGTAGCTCCTACGTCAGGGCCGCTTAGTACGGTGATACATTATTAAGTGATGAAGTAGGCAACGAAGTTTGTATATGATGAGTTTCGGTTCCTTTTTTTCTTATTTTATAATTTGTTATTTATACTTATTGTTGTGCATCTTTGTGTGTCTTTCAATATGGTTTTACAATATGGTTTTTCAAAGCCGTGCAGCGTGCAGTAACCAAATCAGGGATATTACCATATTCATCATCTTTAGCAAAAACCATTTTTCTAATTATAAAGGACACCATGGGAGTGTTCCTGTATAAAGGGAAATGTCTTTAAGAATATTCACCAATTTCTGCGTGTGTGAATTTTTGTTCCGAGTATTTTATCAACACCATATGTCTTTTTTCCTTTGTTTAATTTTTGTTTCTCTTTAGTTTGCTATGGGGTGCTTGTGCTCACCAGAGACAGAGAGGGAAAATGAGAAATCCCCCAAAAAGGACGGCCACACTGCAGTCCTTATTCTCCTTTGGGGATTTTGGGCATGCATGCTCATGTGCCCAGCGTGATTTTCAAGACGTGGGGGTCCTGGACTTGATCCATGCAGTTGGCCATGTGAGATCCAGATGCCTTAACCACTGTCCTGCGTACTCGCCCCTTTTATTTCAATTTTGCCATGGAAAATCTAATATATATATATTTTAAAAATTGGAATTAGTCTACCAAATATACATTACCTGATTTCTTTTCTAAAAAGAATTATTGTATTTAGTTTTATTTCTCATTGTATTCATTTGACCAAAGAGAGAGAGAGAGAGAGGGTAAGTGAGAAAGCAAGCTGCCAGGTCCGGGACTCAAACTGCAGTTGGCCATATGGGAGTCCAGCACCTTAACTACCAGCCCCACTTTACCCAGCCTCAACCATGTCCGGCATAACTGCTAACCATGTTTTATCTGGCTCCTTCTCTGCCCCAAATGATTTTAAAGGCACTCTCATTTCGCCTGCAAATACCTGAGGGTGTAATTGATAATTCACCGGAGTTGGAATAGAGGCTCCTTGCTAGGGCGTGGATCACAGGTGACACCCTCCGGTTCTCTGCTACATGTGTTTGATACAAAGGTACAAAACAGTAGGGCAGTACTCAGCGACCCTCTAGAAAGGCTGGAAGGACACATCCGTCCACTAGGGTGGGGGCTGCTTGCCCCCAGAGCCCCTTGATTGCCACTCACTTTCTAAAAAGCCCTTACCGAGTGCTGGGCAAGTCCCCAGCTCTCTGGCTGTGCCCCGGCCCTGTCCTAGAGCCTAACCTTGCCCTGCTTTGCTCCGTTCCAGCTGAAGCAGTTTGAGCGGCTGGAGCAGGAGGTGTCGCGGCCCATAGACCACGACCTGGCCAGCTGGACGCCGGCCCAGCCCCTGGCGGCGGGGAGGCCGGGAGGCCTGGGGCCCTCGGACCGGCAGCTGCTGCTCTTCTACCTGGAGCAGTGTGAGGCCAACCTGACGACACTGACCAACGCAGTGGACGCCTTCTTCACCGCTGTGGCCACCAACCAGCCGCCCAAGATCTTCGTGGCACACAGCAAGTTCGTCATCCTCAGCGCCCACAAGCTGGTGTTCATCGGGGACACACTGTCCCGGCAGGCCAAGGCGGCCGACGTGCGCAGCCAGGTGACTCACTACAGCAACCTGCTGTGCGAGCTGCTGCGTGGCATTGTGGCCACCACCAAGGCCGCCGCACTACAGTACCCCTCGCCCTCCGCCGCCCAGGACATGGTGGACAGGGTCAAGGAGCTGGGCCACAGCACTCAGCAGTTCCGCCGGGTCCTGGGCCAGCTGGCGGCGGCATGAGAACCGATGGCCGGCAGGACGGAGGCGGCAGGGGCGACAGGTGGCAGTGGCCCCAGGCCCACCTGGAGAGTCCGTGTGCTACAGCACCCGCACAGCAACCCCAGCCCACCTCGGCCCGGTGCCCCGACTGCCCAGGGATCTGTACGTATTTATGACAGGGCAGGATGTGGGGCAGTGCCCCCTCAGAGGGTCACTAGGCTGGGGCCTCCACTCACGGAGCCTCGACCGGTTGCTTGGACTGACCCAGGCCCGTGAGCTGTCGTGTTCCCTCTGTACTGGGAGAAAACCCTAAAGAACTATTTTTCATTATTGATTTTCCAATCATTTGACTAATAGTCTACATTTAAATAAAACTTTTAAAAACGAAAAGCAGTTGCGTGAGATGTGTGAAAAGAGAAGGCGCCTTGGGTGGGGAGGCAGCTGTGTCCTCGGCCCGGGTTGGCATGGCAGGTTTAAGCAGAGTGAGTGGTTTAAGGGTGAAGACTGGCATGGCCTCCCAGGAAGGGCACCAAGGGCCCAGAAGTGGAGATGGGCAGGAGATGGGCCAGGTGCCCTGCAGAGTGGAGGCCAGGTCTGCATGTGGCCAGAGGTCTGGGGTGGAGCCTGGACCTGGGGAGCAACTGTCCAAGGGCCAGGGTCAGGCCCAGAGGTGCTGCAGTGCCCTCTGCAGGGAGCTCACCCTCCTGGAAGCTGGCCTGCAGAAGGTACTCAAGACCCTGTGGGACAAGCATGGTGTCGGGCAGACCTGGAGGGGGCCTGGGAGAACTAAGGGAACAGGAGGACTCAGTGCAGCCGGGTGTCGGGAAAGAATGGGAACGACCCAGGCGCCCCTGGGATAGCAACGTGGTGAGCGTTAGTCCAGTGCACGGTAAGTGGGGACACCTGGATATGGCTCCCAGGCGCCTACCGCTCAGGAAAGAGGGAAACGCTTCTAGGAGGTCATCGTGAGCGCCCAAGGCCGAGGCGGCAGGCTCGGGCATCCCCAAAGCCCTCTCACCTGCGGGCTTATTGGCCCTCCGCCTAGGGCCCAGGTGCAGCCCCGCCTGGGCCCCACAAGCCCAGCTCTTCGGCTTGCCCGCCCGACTGCTCAGCCTTCCTGACCGCTCGGCGATGCAGCCTGGGCAACCAGCAGCCCTGGATGGCGTCCTGGTCAGACCAAGGTCAGATGTCCCCAGCCACCACGGGGTGGCACGTCCTGCAGGGAGGAGCCGCAGATGGTGCCAGGCTCCTGGCTGCTACCTCGGGGGGCCCCCTGGAGCCCCCCCGTCAGCCTGCATCCCTTGGGGAACTGTCTGCCCATCTGCCCAGCAAAGCCACTGGACTAAGCATGGTTCCCCAGACTGCGGTTTGGGAAGCGGAGTGGCAGGCGATGGGGTGGGGCATCCCTGCAGATAACGGCTCTCCCTGAGGCTGAGGGGCACCAGAGGGGTGAGGGGCGAGGGAGGACCAGAGTAGGGTGAGAGATTAGAGGCCACAGGCCCATCCCCCAAGTCCCTCTTCTCTGCATCTAAGCATCTGGGGTGCCAGGTCTGACCTGGGGTGCCAGGTCTGACCTGGGGCACCCAGGCCTGCTTAAGCCTAAACTGCTGCAAAAGAGGGAAGCCGAGGCCAAGCCAAAGTCAGTTCCTGTGTGCGGCAGGGGGTTCTTCCGGAGGGACCCCTGATGGTCCCTGAGCCCAATTACAGCCTGCCTCGCCCCCCATGTGTCCTTGGGTTGAGGCCACCAGCTCCAGGGTGGGCTTGGGAAGGGCAGCCCTGGGGTGGGGGAGGTGCTGTCGGGGAGGTTTTCTGGAGCCCCGGGTGTGTGGGGCTGTCTCCTCTGAGCACTGCAGAGGTCCTGACACTGCTCAGGGTGGATGGCGGGGACCTTGCCTGACGTGGGGGTGAGGGGTAGAGGCCAAGCCCCTGGCTGCTCTTCTTTGCACCTCCCTGACTCCCTGGCTGCTTGGGTTGGGCTGGAGCCACAGTGGTGGGCAGGGCCTGAGGCAGACTTTCCTGGAGACCCCACGCCCACCCAGACCTCAAAGGCCCACGTTCTGCAGCAGAGCAAGACCGGAACCGGACAGCATGGCGTGTGTCCCGCAGCTTTATTGGGGCTTTGTGGGTAGCAGCATCAGAGGAGGCTGGGGTGGGCCGGGCTCAGTTGGCGGCCAGGATCTCCTGCACCCAGGGCATGAGCTCAGTGACACGCGCGTACACGCCGGGGCTGGAGGTGGCGCAGGTGCCACTGCCCCAGGACACAATGCCCACCAGGGTCCAGGCTCCATCCTTCTGGCAGACCAGGGGGCCGCCGGAGTCGCCCTGCGGGGAGAGGGGAGGGACTTGAGCTGGCAACCCAGAAGCCTAGCCTGGGGGCCCAAGGATGTTTTTCCCACAGTCCACCGGAGCCCGACTCCCAGCGGAGGCTAGCACGCGCCCATGGGGGTGGGGCAGGAGAGGCTGCAGTTCCTCGTGGGTGGTGTGCCTGCAGCCTGAGTCCCCGCCCACCTCGGGCTCAGTCCTGTGGTAGAGGCTCAGGAGCTGCAGTGACCAGGAGGAGGAGCTGGATGGAGCCAGCCACGGGCCACTGTGAGGGAGGAGGGGCCACCCTAGCCCTCTGGGCCACCATGTCCCTTTGTCCAGGCTGCACTCTGTACAATTCCGGAGGTGCCATTCACTCAGATGTTGTCAATGAAACGTAAAATGGCACCAGGACTGGCAAGTGGCGTAGCAGTTATGTCCCTGGACTCCCATGTGGCCCATGGCAGTTTGAGTCTGGGCCTGGAAGCTTGAAACTCAGGCCGGGTACATGTGCATGCTCAAGATCCCAGGAGAAGAGATTGTGGCATGGCCATTCCCCCGGGGGGTGATTTCTTACGTTCCCTCTCACTGTCTCTGTATCTCTCTCTCTCTCTCTCTCTCTATCTCTGGGCGAACACATGTGCCCTAAGGGTAAAACCTCTATCCAAAAAAAAAGGCACCTCCGGGAGAAGAGAGAGGGGGTGAACAGGCAGAGAGGAGGGGGAGTCCCAGCCTCCAGTGTGGCCTACGTGCCCTGGCTGACCAG